AACCAACACTCATCTTCAATTCCATCAATATGCTCTTCTCCTCCTTCTCTGCCTTCAACTGATCCAGTTCACTTCCATGCCCTTTCAATACCCTCTCCATTTTCATTAATATCCTGATCATCTACCACTTCTCTCTCTTCAACTGCTCCGATTATGCTTCTATGTCTTTCAATACCCTCATTGGTTAAATCACTACCCTGACCAACTGCCTCTTCACTGCCTTCACTTGCTGCAAACTACTTCCATGACTTTTTATACACCTTCCTCAAAATCACAATCAACTAACCAATATCAATCCATGGCCTTGGATCAGTTTTAGACTCTCTATGAACATCTCAATACCACAAAGTGTAAATCTAAATATTCTTTCAGTTAATCATGAACTTGAGTTTATCAAAATCTAATCCACTCCTTCTAAGTTGGAATTCCCATTCCCCAAGCTCATTTTTGGTTCATTTGATCCCACATAACCATGATATTATATCTCTAACTAAAATAAATCAAAGCATTTTACGAAAAGAAACCGAACCATGAACTTTACCTGCTACCAAATCCAAACACAATTTCTTCCCCTCACCACTTCCCTTAATTCCTTCCCAAACCCAATATCAACTTTTACTCCAAGTACACAACCCCAACTCCCAATGTGTTGCGTGAAAGCTTAATTTTAGCAATAATTATGCTTGCAATTAGATTAATGGACACCAGCAAGCGCCAAAATTCCACCAGACGATGAGTTGTCTTCACTTTGAGTTTTGTAATAAACTGCTGGCCCCATATGTTTATCAGTTTGGAGGCCATATGATGAGCAATACCGAATCAGTTGCAGCGAAGTTACCGGTCACAGTATTGACAATGTGAAACACGTGTTAACAAACGCGAATATGGGTATATGGATTGACATTAGATGATGGGATTGGACAATGAGATCGTCCTTAGTTAAGCGACATGTAAATTGGTCATTTGGTATGGAGGACACAAACCGTTAAAATTCTTAATTATTTGGGGTGAGTTTGTATTTAGTGTTTTCAAAATCGTGGTATATGATTTAGGAGATTAAAATATCTAAACCCAAACGAACGGACCCACGCACACCCCTAGGAAGAGTTTCAAACTTAGTATTTAACCGGACAAAAATATTCAGAGAACTAGTCCCCTATAGTTTGCACAAAGATATGATTGTTTCACTATAGTTCTGAAAATTAATGATAATTTAAGAATTCTATATCGCTTCTACATATTCAATACTATAATTCGATATGAAATACTCGAACCAACAATATTTTAGTTGCAAATTTATGGTTATAGTCTATTTATAATATAGATAAAATTTTAAATTAAGTATTAAACTATAATTAAAATAAAAATATCAAAATTGAAGTATCAAAACACCAAATAAGTACTTACGAAATATTTATTGGGCTAGCTAACTGTTGAAAAGTTCTGTGATTTCATATTTTAGCTTCGTATATATTTTTAATTTAAAAAATACAACAAATCTACATAGTATGATTGATTTTAAACCTTTACTTTGTTTGAAGTGACCATGGTTCAAATCTCAATATGTCTATCTTTTTTCTGTAAATAAATTAAAAAATACAGATAATTGTGAAGACAAAAATGTCCTTCCTAATTTCCCTCTCATTACAGGAAATTTGAAAAGGGAGATTAAGTTTCCAATAATTAAATCATATACCCTAAACCTATAGAACTTAAACCCTAATATCACATATACTAAGAACATAAGCAATGATTCTGATTCGCCAAGATGTATACAACATACCATATGCACTATATTAGGATTTAGAGAATTATGATATAGAATTTAGTTACGTGATTAATCTATGGTCTAGTGGCTCATTTGTCAATGGTATTTAGTCTTTCAATTCTATGCTCATAATTCTCAACCATTAGGGAAATTGTTAGCCAATGATTTTTGGTCATTCACTTATAGCATTGAAAATGTCTCGTTACAAAACCATAGATCACAAATGTCAAATTTTATGTTTTGAAATAAAATTTTGTATAACACTTTTGTAAACAATCCTTGTATTCCTACAAACTACAAAGTCATGTAACCTAATAGATGTAAAAGTTGTAAGACATACATAAACTCAAAATGTACTATTTGATTCTTGGTGAAGAATTGTGTGATTAGAGGAACTCACTTAGTTGATTCATAAAACTTGGTATATCATGATGATTCACTTTGTAAATAATTACAGTTATTAATTAATTCGATGATTGATTGTTGCGGTGGATAGTCCTATGATTTTGAGATATTTCAGTATTTTCTCCCTTTAATTCAAAAAATACATAAACATTGTTGTAGTCTAGTTGGTTAGGGATATTGACTATCAATTTGAAGGACTCGAGTTTGAGTCTTGGTAATGACATTTTTTTCTAGTGCAAGAAATTTGAAATGCTCAAAATCTCATGAAGAACGGCTATATATTATAGAGGGATTTTTTCTTTGTTGGGAAACTCCGAACTAACAACTTCGGGGAAACCCCAAGTGTGTAGGGCTATGATAAGATATGGTTATGGTGCTATTTTAATAGTGAGAGTCCTTAGCCAAATCAAAAGGTTATAGTATGATAACTCCATGTTAATGATAGAGCATTTTGAGTAAAATTGTAAATACTAATTAAGAACTTAATGACAATTTTAACAAACTTTTTTTATGAATCATGATAATTTTTTGCTGAGAATGTTTAGCCGATACTATAGAATGGTAAGAAATATCAACTAGGCTGAGAACTTCAATCAAATGTTTAAACTAAAAGTTTGCCATAATTTATTACCTTCTTTTTGTACATATCTTATGCATATGATATGCCAATATGGTGGAGTACCTTTACTAAGTTGTCTCTCTCGTAATTTCTTCTATATTTTCCCTTTGACCAATAGTCATAGAAGTTTATTTCTAAGTGTCATTAATTATTTAATAATGATCCATTTGTCTAAAAATTTTTGCTTAGAGAAACGAAAATTTAAGGTTGTTTTGATATTCCAATGCAATATATTTCGGCCAATGGCTGGGTACCAAGCTAGTAACCATAGAAGGAAGAAAAGGTGAGGAAAGGATTGAACGGTAAAAGGAAATTCTAAAGTCTAAACTAGGGGTGGCAGTTCGGTTACCGGTTATCGGTTAACCGGTTGGTTAAATCGATAACCGGCCGGTTATCTACTAATTGGTAACCGAAGTAACCAAACTTCGGTCGGTTATCGGAGGCTGGACGAAATGGTTTTTGGTCTTAAAAGTGGTTCGGTTAACCGAGATAACCGAGAGACCGAAGCCTATTTCGGGCGATTTTCGGTAGGGGGAGTGGTTATTTTGGTTATAACCGGTAACCGATCGGGAAATGCCACCCCTAGTCTAAACCTTAGAACCAGATAAAACTGGAAACGAAAAAGAAAACTCATTTCCCTCTAGGGATGGAAAAAAATATCTGTAACCGTGGATATCCGCCCGAATCCGGCCTAATCGGGTAGGGTAAAACCCGAACCCGAAGGACATTTAGTGGCTACGGGTAAAATCTGAACCCGAATATTGCGGGTAATGGGTGGGCATGGGTTTCTCACTATCCAACTCAAACCCGTCCGATTATACACTTGCATATGTATTTTGTCTAGAAGTACTTAATATTTTTCTCTAACATATTTTATATTTAGCATACAAATATAATATTTTCATGAAATTGTGTAGTTTTATTTAATTTTCTTCATTCTAGTGAATTATTGTCGTACTTTTTCTCTTACGTAATGTGAGAATAGGTATGAATGTTAACATATTGGTTGAAGTTATGAAAAGAAATTATTACCCATGGATAACCGTGGATACCCGAAACCCGAACGGGTATGGGCATGGTTTTGATTTTGGGAAAAACTTAGCAGCATCCCAGTATGCAGCCAATAGCTGCTACCCCTCCACATGTCTGCCCGTTATTGGTTATCAGTTTTTATTTTTTTTTAATTATTAAATGTGATGTCAATTAGTTTAGGTTTGGGAGAGAGGTAACGGAGCCGTCATCAACCCATGACATCCCCTCCCATCCATAAAATCTTGGCTCTATCTGCCATTCCCTAGCCTGACATAAACACATCAATTCACCATCTTTTAGTACTTTTACTACTCGCATGCAACCGAAGCAGCAGTATGCAAAAGCTTCCTCTCAAAAAAAAAAATGAAAAGGCTAAAATGGTGGCCTCGATCTCTGTCCTAGCACTAGCAGCAAGCACCGGTAGAGTCACACGTCACCCGGAAAGCAGCATCTGTATTCTTAGCTTAGCTCTCGTACAAGATTTTGGAATAGATAAGAATTTAAAGTTCCAAAAAATTGTCTGATATAGGAAACTAAATTGTTCTGGGTGAATGGTACCAGATAAAAATATTTAGATACATCATAGATCCCCACTAAATAATGAATGTAAGTCTAAACAACTACTGTATTGAAACATAACGAAAATGGAAAAAACTTAATGTCACTTTATTCTACTTGAGATATTTATAGAAGAACAATGGTTGTCACTGTTGCGGATCATCGAAAGGAGAGTTCATTGCATCCTGTAAAATTAATTAAGATAACAATAATATTAACATTAGTAACATTTTAATGAAATCAAATAAAATAGATAAAAGGACTAACTTCGTACCTGTAGCAATTGTGTATATGATATATTGTTCAAACAAATTGTAGAATTCAAGTTCTCTCCTGGTGGACTAATAATTGAACTTTGAGACTCATGTTCCACCTAAAATTTAAAACACTTGTTAGATATACAATTATTAGGATATGTTCACCTATAGTCCATTCATTTGATTGCATTTAGAGTACTTCGAAATATAATGACAAAGTAAAACCTGATAATTTTGGATTTGCAATTCAGTTTTGCTTCCAGCAGCTTGTTGAGAACAATTAGTTTTCTGCTTCTTATCCTGTACATATAGTATTACATAACGACAGGTTAATGAACTAAGATAGTACAATAGTTATATTTTACAAAAGGAAAGAAAGATCGAAGTGAACCTGTGGTTTTGATTGAACTTTGTGACTTTTTCGGCGCTCTAATGCACCTTTGATCCTCCCTTTTGGTCGCCCTACTGTCGCTTTTGTCTTAACTCCAGCTACAACTCGATGGTCTTCTTCGTGATTGGAGCACAGTTCCTCAGGAGAAGTTCCAACATCTGAACATTTTCTCATTCCCTGCAAATCCTTTAGCAAATTTGAAAAAACTTCACTTGCATGCTCATACATTGCGTCATTCTCAGCTGCCAATGTAGATATCTCTCGAAAATTATAATGTAGATTGCAGTAACGTTTCCCAATAAGTTTCTCAGAACTTCCTTGCACTCGAACTGAACTTCTTAGGTCTCCATCCTTTGCATCCTTTGTCCATCTCTTTAATATATATCGTCTTGGGATTTGCTTTATATTTTTCTTGTCTAGAACCTTCAAAGCATGAGTACATAGAATTCCCATAAACTCAAACTTCTTGCAACTGCAATCAACTGCTTGAGACGATGACTCAAACTGGACAAAGTGCTCAGTGCCTCTACCTGCATATCTCACTTTATATTCTACCCGGACTTCGTTTTTGTTGATCTCATCAATAGTATAGTCCAAAACTTTGACAAACTCTTCTTGGAACATTTTAAATACTTTAGGAGTATACACCTTTGAAGCTTGTCTTAACATCTCAACATTTGCTTGTAACACTGGGATGGTGTCCCTCATTTTGAACTCTGCAAGTAGTTCCTGATACCTTCTATCTTCTACCAACCGAGCATAATGATCAAAAAAGTATGTCATATTGTGTTTTGGCTTCAAATACTTCTTCAACACACTATTGATCGATTCACTACGCTGAGTGCTCATCATATCAGCTGTAAACATGTGACGCCCATACACCATAGCCCACTTTTCTCTCATTGAGAATATCCCATCCAACCATTCATTATTTCTCAAATTATACTTGGTAAGCATATCATCCCAACCTTTATACCACTCCTCTTCATCTTCATAGTCATATACACATGCACTAAAATCCTTAGCAAATTGGTCGGATGCATTGAACACATGACTCAAGTGTTTAGCAGCATTTTGATAAATATGCCAGATGCATAAACGATGATGGGATTCAGTAAATACCTCTTCAATTGCTTTGGCCATAGCAGCTGATTGATCTGTTAATATGGTTTTGGGTTGGTTTCCAGCCATTGCAGTCAAGAATGCTTCAAACAACCACTTGAAAGATGTGATTGTCTCATCATAAAGTAATGCTGCTCCGAAGATTACTGTCTGCTTCAAGTGATTAACTCCAACAAATGGAGCAAAAGGCCGGCCATATTCATTGGTTCTGTAAGTTGTATCAAAACATACAACATCACCAAAGTACTTGTAATCGATTATTGACCTGCCATCCGCCCAGAACATATTCATGATAAGATCATCATCATCATCAAGTTGCACCAAGTAAAAGAATGATGGGTCCTCTGCTTGTGCTTTACGAAAATAATCCATGATTGCCTGGCCATCTCCTTTAATCATTGTAGCCTTTCTCTTTGTACCAATATAATTTTGATAGTCTTTATCCAGAAAACCATTGTGTTCACGACCTCCATTCTGCACTGCTAGTAAATCAATAGTTTTCTTGATTGATAATCCCGCTTTCTCAGCATCATCTGCAATAGCTTTCTGAGCATAACTTATCTTCCTATTGGACCTCAACATATGCTTCATCGGAGTGGGGGCTAGATCATGGTTATGATTTTCTTCAAAAGAAACAATCTCAAGCATGCCATCATTTTTTAATTGGCAGGTCATACGTGCTAAGCAACCTACTCTTAAAATCGGTCTTTCAAAGGCTACATGCTCACGCCTTTTATCAAAACCTTTTTTCCCTTGTTTTGAACAAGAATACGTTCTTCGCTTCACTTGGCCTTCTTTTGTTCGCTTGATTTGATGCTTCTTTACGCTAAAACCGACACTATGTGCATATGACTTATAAAATTCATAAGCATTATCATCTCCATCAAACTTCATTCCTATGCATGGTACTTCAATCTTTTCATTAATCTGGTTGATATGCTTTTCTAAAGTTTCTTTGGGAGTCCTAACATCTGTTCATCAGAAACATTACATAAGATAAAGAATAAACTCATGATAATCTACTTACTAAAAGTCATCGTTAATCATGAGACTAGAAATTCAAGCAAACAGAACACTCAATACACGTGTATCACCAAAGGGGAAAAATTGGCAGTAGTATAGATAAAATACCTAAATTGATTCATAGAACACAAACTGTTATAGAAAAAGGAAAAAGACAAAATAATTGATGAACACAATGTTGGTAAAAGGGAAAAACAATTCAGTAAACCGATGATGGTCTCATGAAAAAGACAAACATGATAAAATATCCACCATTATTTTATTTTATGTTCATCCAAAATTTTCTTTTGGGAAAAGCAATTGATAAAAGAAACAAAGCTAACCTGATTTGGGAGATGACATGTCCAGTGCATCCAACAGTAGCTGAAGCAAAAAGAGCAGATATGCCTGCGTAGGTTTTCGTGCGGCTGCTCCTTGTAAAATTTCCAGTGCTGGTAGGATTTTTTTTTGAATAATCCAGTGCTGGTAGGAGTAGGAGAGAAAGTAAACCTAAAAATCAAAAGGTATAAAGTAAAGTTTATTTAACTTTAAAAATTCCGTACCGTGTGTGATGACGGCTCCGTTAGCTCTCTCCCAAACCTAAACTAATTGACATCACATTTAATAATTAAAAAAAATAAAAACTGATAACCAATAACGGGCAGACATGTGGAGGGGTAGCAACTATTGGCTGCATACTGGGATGCTGCTAAGTTTTTCCCTTTGATTTTCTACTCGTTTCACATGTGAGTATGGGTAAAACTCGAACTACTATGGGTATTATAACGGATATGCACTATCCGCGCCCGATCCGACCCATTGCATCCCTATTTCCCTGTCTGACACCTCGCTGACTTGGACTTTTCATAAAAAAATACCAAGGCTTCTCGTCTTCCCCGTAAACAAAGGAATAAAGAATATGGGGCCATGGTAAGAAAACCGTTGTGAACTGCAACTCTCTCTGCTTAGCTAGCCATCCAGTCTCTTCGATTCTCCCATCTCACCGTTCCCATTTCTCTTCAATTAATGACCAAGCTAGAGAAAGGAGAAGAAAAAGTTGAAAGGGAGGAAATCAGTGGTGGCAGAAGAAGGAAGCAGTAGCCTTCTGCTCTATTTCCCAGTACGAAGTCGATCTTCTCAACTTCCCAGGATCACAAATTCAACTTCTTCTCGAACTAAGAGAAGATTTCACCATGTGAAGTTACTTCAGTTCACTTGGGGTCTGCTTTATCTGATGATGTCGCCCCAAAGCTGACAACTTTTCTCCTCCAGCGATTTATAAATTGAATTTATCGCGGCCCCCGAAAATGGCGAAGAGGATGATGCGCAGGGTAGTAGGGATGAACATTGAACAAGTTGCGGAGGTCTTCAATGCTCTTTATGAAGAGAAGAAGCCCTTGTTCCCGTTTTTTATCCCTTTGCTGTTGTTTCTTTGGTGCATTGAGAGATGGGTTTTCGCTCTGTCCAATTGGGTTCCTCTTGGTGTTGCGGTTTGGGCTCTTCTGCAGGTTAAAGTCCCTTCCTTTTTCACCTGTTTAGTCTTGTTTCAATCTGCTTTTGGTTTCCCAGTTTTGATCCTCATCGCACTGTGTATGGCATTAATTTTGGTGTTTGTTGGAGCTATACTTCTTAATTGCTGCCAATCCTGGCGTTTCTAAAAGAAGGAATGATTTGATTGATCCGGGTAGAAAATAGGATTTGGCATATCTAATGGCGTTTCTTTCTTTGGAGTTGGATCGATTTCTTGGCTAACGCTTTCATAGTGTACAATTGTCCTGTTTCTTGTCGTTGACTTTGGTTTGAGTAGATAGTTTATTGACTGCTTTAGAAAGAAGCATTGTATGCTGCAGCTTTTCTTTAGCTATGTTTGTTATGATCTGTGGGTTCTCTTTCTCATGAATCAGTGGCAACATGACAATTTTTGTTTCAGTGTTCCAAAAGGAAAAATATATATGATTGCTATTGCTTTGAATTGCAGTATTCGAATCATCAGAAAAGAATGCTTGTGAAAGATCTGAACAGAAAGTGGAAGCGAGTTATATTAAGCACATCGGTACTTTTGCTCACATTCTTACCTTCAGTTAAAAGCTAAGTCTTATAAAGTGTGATTTTCAGTTGTAGTCAAGGTGGTAAATTATTCATATCGTTTCAATTTCCATTCAGGCAACAACTGCTGTAGAACACTGTGAGTGGCTGAACAAGATGTTGCTGGAAATTTGGCTGAATTATTTCAACCCAAGGCTTTCGACAAGGTTCTCGCACATAGTGGAGGTTGGATTTCTTTTCTATCTTGTTACTAACATACTGATGAACTGAAGTTGGATACCATAGTTATCTTAAATCTTCCTCTGAAGCCTTTCTGCTTGTCAGTATCTATTGTTTATCAGATCAATCTAAGTTGTTTTTCTTTCTTTCTTTTGTTGGGAGCAGAGACTCTTAAAGGATCGCAAACCCAAGCTCATAGTAAGTGCCATGTATGATATATCTCAATTGCTTGAGTGAAAGGATAGGAATGCTATTATTGGAGTTGGTGGTGTCGGTACACTCTTACCAGGAAACAACTACCTTTTGGTTGTGCAGGAATGGGTTGAACTGCAGGAGTTTTCGCTAGGCTCATCCCCACCTAGATTGGGCCTTAATGGTACTCGCTGGGCAACTTCAGGTGATCAGGTGTTGCTTCAAGTCTCTCTGTTCTTATTTTCTGAAATGGTCTAGTTTCTATGTTAGCTTGTGGTTCCTAGCTGCTTCAGTTGATAATCAGCTATCATGTACGGTGGACTGTAGATAAGCAGCTTTTAAGCACGAAAAGTACACCTCATTTCCAGTAGACAGCACAAATGTGCTTAGAGCCTTAGATTCCTACCAGTGGCCGTAATTTTGAGTCTCTCTCAAACTCAACTGATCTTCTTGACCTGTCACTAATTTTGTTATTGTCTACATGTTGAACAGCTAGTCATGCACATGGGTTTTGATTGGGACACTCGTGACATGAGCATCATGCTGTTGGCTAAACTCGCAAAGCCTTTGGGAACTGCTCGTATTGTTATTAACAGCCTGCAGATCAAGGGCGATGTAAGTAAATTTTATCATGATTTGTTGTGTGGAGGGTGTAAATATAGTCTGTTGACTTTTAATGTTTCTTACTTTTATTTGCTGGTTATGTGCTCTCTCTTTTTTGATTGCGGTCCATGCCACTTGTCCTATGGTTTCATCATACAGCTTCTCTTGATGCCAATTTTGGAAGGCAGAGCATTTCTTTACTCTTTTGTGTCAACTCCCGATGTAAGAATAGGAGTTGCTTTCGGAAGTGGGGGAAGCCAAAATCTACCTGCCACTGAGCTTCCCGGGGTTTCCTCTTGGCTGGTATGTCTGTCACAATACGAATATGTACTTTCTCCCAAGAATTGAGAGTTTGGTAATATGGCTTGGTCTAAGATTTTCTAAACCCTCAGCTTTATTCTTCTTATTCTAAGTCTTTCTTTTGTCTCTAAAATAGGTCAAACTTTGCTCTGACACCTTAGATAAAACAATGGTTGAGCCTCGACGTCGATGTTTCTCTTTACCGGCTGTGGACTTGAGAAAGAAGGTTGTTGGTGGGATTGTACATGTAACGGTTGTTTCAGCTAGTAAAATTTCTAGGGCTAGTTTCAAGGGAAGTCCAACAAGAAAGCTGGAACAGAGTTCAGAAGAGGGTGTTAATGATAAAGATTACCAGACATTTGTGGAAGTCGAGCTTGGTCAATTAACACGGAAGACAAATGTAAGGCCAGGCTCAAGTCCTAAATGGAATTCGACTTTCAACATGGTGCTACATGAAGAAACTGGAATGTTGCGGTTCAATCTTTGCAACTGTAACCCTGGCAGTGTGAAGTATGACTATCTAGCAAGTTGTGAGATCAAGGTAGGGTCTTTGTGTTTCACATTGTACAGCATGAGCAAATAACTGGTGCATTTGTGTAGTATTTCTATTTCTATGTTATTTTTTTTGGATCGGTGTTTCTATGCAATTGTTAATCATGCTTCTATTCCATGCTGTCATAGATATGTAGGAAGTGAAATTACTATATGTCATCATTGACTTTGCTACTAGTTTGTCTCAGTAAAATATATGCTTCGACTTCAATCTCTACACTAATTAGTAGGGGTCATATTTTCTACTGGTAATATCAGTTATATGTTCTTCCTCTCTTCTTTATTTTTGTTTTTGCCCTTTTTGAGCAGATGAAGTATGTTGCAGATGATTCAACAGTTTTTTGGGCAATAGGGCCTGACTCTAGTATAATTGCGAAGCATGCTGAGTTCAGCGGAAGAGAAGTCGAAATGATTGTTCCATTCGAAGGGCCAAACTTTGGGGAGGTGCAATATGCAGAAAACCATTTTTACTTACTCATTGTGCTACTTTATCATCTGATGATTTTGACTTGTTCATTTCTGCAGTTGGCTGTGACGCTTGTGGTAAAGGAATGGCAATTCTCGGACGGTACACACAGTCTGAACAAGTACAAAAGCAGCTCTCAACAATCTGTGGATGGATCATCGATTCTTCCTTCAAGAACTGGACGAAAGATCAATGTAACGGTTGTGGAAGGACAAGATTTAACTGTCAAAGAAAGATCTGGCAAGTGTAACCCATATGTCAAGTTGCAGTATGGAAAGGTATCAAATTCACATGAAGACCTTATATATGTAATATGCTTAATTGCTATGGTTTCTGAAATTTGTTCCTCCGGCGACGCTCTTACTTTTTTCAGGCAGTCCAGAAGACCAAGACTTCAGACTCTCCCAACCCTACCTGGAACCAAAAGTTTGAATTTGAAGAGATTGGAGGAGATGAATACCTTAAGATCAAAAGCTATACCGCAGAAGTGTTTGGAGATGAAAGCATCGGTAGTGCAAGGGTAAATTTGGAAGCTTTAGTTGAGGGTTCAATAAGGGATGCATGGATTCCTCTGGAGAAAGTAAACTCAGGAGAACTGCGGCTTCAGATAGAAGCAGTGAAAGTTGATGAGGATGATGGGTCAAAGGTACTTTCTTGGATTCAAGCTCATCAACTTTCTTGAAGTCAAGGGATAAAATTTCTCTGGTGTTTTTCCAGAGCATGACATCAAGTTCACCTGTTGGCTGGATTGAACTTGAAATCATTGAAGGGAGGGACCTTATTGCTGCCGATCTTAGAGGGACAAGTGATCCATACGTTAGGGTGCAATATGGAAACTTGAAGAGGCGGACAAAGGTGAGCTGACATAATATGTTAAGGATCTTTGAATTCAATTTCTGGGCTGTGAAATTTACCTAGATGGTGCTCACCAACTTCATTTGCATCTTCACCTGATATAATTTCCCCCCATCTAAAGGTAGTCTTCAAAACTCTCACTCCGCAATGGAACCAGACGTTAGAGTTTCCTGATGATGGCAGTCCCTTGGAGTTGCATGTCAAAGACCACAATGCCTTGCTACCTGGATCCAGTATAGGTGACTGTGTTGTAGAGTATCAAAGGTTGCCTCCAAACCAAACTTTCAACAAGTGGATACCTCTGCAAGGCGTGAAAAGAGGCGAGATACACATTCGAGTCACCAGGCGAGTCCCTGAACAACCAAAGAGAACTAGTTCGGATTCCGAAGGCTATTTGAGCAACTCTCATCAAATTACAGGCCAGGTAAAAAAAGTCGAGCAATTACTCGCAGCTTCGTCCTCGTGCACCCTTTTGCTCATTCCATCTGTGTTTGTTGATCAGTTGAAGCAGATGATGGGCAAGCTCAAATCTTCTGTCGAAGGTGGGAATCTTGATGCAGTTTCATTAGCTTTGAGTGAGATGGAAAGTGTAGCAGAGGCTCAAGAAGAGTACATGGTGCAGCTCGAGACCGAGCAAATACTTCTGCTTAACAAGATAAAAGAGCTTGGTGAAGAAATCATCAACTCTCCACCAGTCTTGGAAAGAAGATCCTCTTCTGCAATATAACATCCTCTACTTTTCCTCCATTATACAGACTGTCATTAGATATTGAAAGAGCAAATTTGTATCAAACCAGTAGCAGTACAGTGATTGAATATATTAACTCCAAAAAGGCAAAAACTCTTGCTTTTGGCGGGAATGATATCATATCATATGTCACCATTAATTTCTGTTTCTTTTCTTGTTTGACGTGTCTATCAAGTAACCTTGGGTTGAAGACCTGAAGTCGAATTAAAACTTAATTGAAAGACATTGGAAACTAGGTTGGCTAAGTTAGTACCAAAGCAAAGTTGGCTGACTGAGTATAGACGTTTTCTAACAGGAAAGAAAAGGAAAAAGAATACCAATATCTGTAGACTGTAGCAGTAGGCGTTATCCGTCGCCGCCAACTGAAGCAGATTCCTTCCTCACAACCCTTCTTCTCTCCTGGAAGGCTTCTGCCTGGAAGTGTTCATCCCAACTTTCCTTCCATTTTGTTCCTGCATTCGAAACAGGGATAAGATTCTCAGATGCTAAAATCGCCATAGCTGGGCATTTTCCAATATCGTTCAAAGTCATGAGCTTTGCGACTGCTAAATTATCAGAGCTCCCACTCAGAGGCCACTCCTCTTTCTTCACAAAACCCTCATTTCGGGAATTCCGACAACCCTTCTGCTCCTCGCTGCGAACCAACAAGTACGTCAGAACCCAGAACCCGAAATCGAGAAATTCCAATTCCCCAAATTCCACCTGGTTGTCCAAGTGGCCTCCGAAGGGGAATTCGGTTCGAGGTTCTCCCAAGAAAGAGGTCAGCCGGAATGTGAACGAGGAGAAGGCTCGATATTTGGCGAGGGAGAAAGGGGAGACTGCAATTGAGAGAATCGTGCTTCGGTTGAGAAATTTGGGTTTGGGTCCTGACGACGAGGAAGGAGGAGGAGAAGAAGGGAGGGAGGAAACCCGGATTCTGACCGCCGAGTTGCCGCCGGTTAATGGGGAGGAGAGACTGGCGGATCTTTTGAAGCGGGAGTGGATTAGGCCGGACACTGTTTTGGATGAGGACGATGACAGTGACGATGAAATGGTGTTGCCGTGGGAGAGAGAAGAGAAAGAGAAGGAGATGCAGGGAAGGGAGGAAGATGGAGGGAGGGAAAGGAAGAGGAGACCGAAGGCTCCGACTTTGGCCGAACTGACAATTGATGATGAAGAATTGAGAAGGCTGAGAAGGATGGGCATGACTTTGAGAGAGTGGATCAATGTGCCAAAAGCTGGGATCACCCAGGAAGTTTTGGAGAAGATTCATGATAAATGGCGAAAAGCTGAGCTGGTTAGGCTCAAGTTCCATGAGTTTCTCGCACATGACATGAAAACTGGCCACGAGATTGTCGAGGTTGGTGGCTTTTGTATCAGCTTTCTGTAGCTTTGTTCTTGATGACCTTGGATAATGTGAACCATTGTAGAGTAAGGAACTATGTTTTCGTTTTTTGCTTGCTCAGTCTGACTGTAGTGATTAACTGTTGATATGTTAGCTCAACTTATTATGTAACATGTTATGCGCTTAGTTTAGTTATTGAATTTGATATCTAAGGCTAACTGCTTGTATTAATCATCAGCGTCGTACAGGAGGGTTAGTTTTATGGAGGGCAGGAAGTGTTATGATTGTTTGCCGAGGAGCTAATTACCAAGGACCGAAATCTACTTCAGAATTGGCTAGGAAAGAAGAGGAATCTCGATTCATTCCAGATGTGTCATCTGCTGATTCATTCAAATGTGATGAGGCGGCATTGCCAGATCCAGAGAAGTCTATACTACCAGTTGTGAGGCCACCACAACTGACTGAGACCTTGACTGAGCAGGAAATCGAATATAACAAGCTCTTGGATGGTTTAGGGCCCCGTTATGAGGCGTGGTGGGGTACTGGAGTGCTTCCCGTGGATGCTGATTTACTTCCACCTAAAGTTCCTGGTTACATGACGCCTTTTAGGTGTCTTCCTACTGGAATGAGGCCTCGCCTTACCAATGTTGAGATGACTAATTTGAGAAAACTTGCTAAATCACTTCCCTGTCATTTTGCCCTTGGTAATGCTGTGTCTGTCTTCCTTGAATACCTGAATTTTCAGATGTTCAGTTCAGTTACTGATTTTTGGCACTTGTTCTTTACTTTCACCAGGGAGGAACCGAAACCATCAAGGGCTGGCAGTTGCAATACTCAAACTGTGGGAGCAAAGCCTAATTGTGAAAATTGCTGTGAAGCGAGGGATACAGAATACGAATAACAAGCTAATGGCCGAGGAAATAAATGTGAGTTGTAGGCCTTATGTTTTTCATTTCATGACAGTGGGATAAAATGAAGGTTTCCCAATAGTCCTCAACCCAGGTTTCTTAAAGTTGGATGCATCTTATGGATTCACATTGTTGTAGTGTGATGTTTGAGTAGTTTGAAGTCATTATAGAAAATTGATAATCAATATTACCATGTGGACCTTTCGTTGTGTTTTCTGATATACTATAGGCTCTGAATTATGCCTCTGTATGAGCTGTTTGCTTCAATAAGGTCTTGTGGATGGTTTATATTGGTTGCCACAATATATTTTCTCTGGGTCTCAAATATTCCCAAGATTAATATATTATGCTGGTTATTGATGTGTTCACAAGAAAAGAAAAGAGAAGATACATGTACATGTCAACCAAATGATGATGGAATTGTTATTGAAGGTTTCTCTACTCTTGCAGCAATTAACAGGAGGCGTCCTGTTGCTTAGAAACAAATATTATATTGTCATTTTCCGTGGAAAGGATTTCCTGCCTGCAAATGTAGCTTCACAATTGGCTGAGAGGCAAGAAATGACCAAGCAAATTCAAGACAATGAAGAGAAATTAAGAAGCAACCTAGAGGCATCACCATCAGGCAAAGACGGTGAAGGAAATGCACTTGCAGGGACCTTGGCAGAGTTTTATGAAGCACAAGCACGATGGGGAAGAGATACATCTGTAGAAGAGCATGAAAAGATGGTTGAAGAAGCTGCCAAAGCTAAAACTGCTAGGCTTGTCAGACGAATCGAGCATAAGCTAGCTAATGTAAGTTTATTATCTTCTGCATTGCCTCATCAGGAAACTAGACTTTTTATGGCTGTTGCATTCAAGGAAAGTAAAATATAATAGCAGGGTGAAAATGTTTAATCATACCGGTCATCATGAGTTACGGCAAAGAGAGATAACACAATATATCATGCTATCCGATCAAAGCATAACATTTTAACTTCCTTCTTCCTTTACTGGTTTAGTTCATTTCCTTGACTTCATTTAATCTTTGAATTTCTGATTTCTGTTTATGGTTCATCTTTGAATTTCTGCATAGGCTAACAGCAAGAAGCTTAGAGCAGAGAAATTGTTATCAAAGATAGAAGCCTCCATGGTTCCTGCTGATCCAGATTATGATAGAGAAACAATCACTGATGAGGAAAGGATTGTGTTCAGGAAAATTGGGCTAAGAATGAAGCCATACTTGCCTATGGGTAAGTGGTATTAAGAAGCTTATTTGGTGAACTTCAAATGGAAAAGCTCATTCTTTCTGCACATTCATTTGACAGGCATCCGTGGTGTTTTTGATGGAGTTATTGAGAACATGCATTTGCATTGGAAGTATAGAGAGGTTGTGAAGCTAATAGCCAAACAGAAGACAATGACATTTGTTGAAGATACAGCTAGACTGCTGGAATATGAGAGTGGTGGGATACTAGTGGCAATAGAAAGAGTACCAAAAGGTTATGCTCTCATTTACTATCGTGGGAAGAATTACCGCCGTCCCATTAGCTTGAGACCAAGAAATCTTCTTACAAAAGCAAAAGCATTGAAGCGTTTCGTAGCAATGCAACGCCACGAGGTTCTATCTTCAACATAATCCTTTTCTTGCTGTCCCATTAACGAAGCTTGGAAATTAATTATAATGTGCAAAATGATGCAGGCTCTAAGTCAGCACATATTTGAGCTGGAGCACACAATAAAACAATTGAAAGTCGAAATTGTAAGTACCCCTTGTATTATCCTGGCTTTTCCACCAAAAACATAACATGTTCCTATCCTGCTAAAAGCAAAAAAGAAAAGCAAGGCTGACTAGTATCCTTTTGTTTAATATTGTGCAGGGTTTATCAGAGGATGAAAGTTCTGATAATTGGAGCACAGGTGCATCACTATTGGTAGATTCTAACTCAGACTTCACTGAAGTGAGACACTGTCCTCCCTGTTTTGTTGATGTTATATGCATCAGTACTCTAGCTCTAGGGGTGTTCATGTTCAGAAGACATAAGGAAGTGAGATCTGGAGAAAGTTTCTTTCTCATATATGTGGAATTAGTATTCATGTGTTTGATTGCAGGATTGGATCTTAGCTTGATTATTTCTTATTCAGTTTTTACAACGATGAAATTACCTTCTTCAAATTGCTGCGGATTAATTTTATAACAAGGTTTCTGTGGATATTCAGGTAGAGGATGAAGCTTCATATATAGCATCTGATGAGGATGTCAGCAATGATGATGGGGAAGAAGAGGATCTTGACTGGGAAGACGAAGATTTCGAGTCTTCGGATTCTGAGAATAGCGAACGATATCTTGGCACATGATATCTAAAAGCTCATCCAAACCTCTTTAACAACTGGATGTCTCCTTCCCAATGTTCATCTTCATATGCAGGTATTCATCGAACTTTTCGAAACTAGTTCTTGCATTGATCGGGAAGTGTCTACTTCCCTGAATGAGCATATTTCCTTTTCCTCATATTCTGAATTTTATTGGTCTGAAAGTACGCAGTGTTCACTTCCAATAATCATGCTGTGTTTTCCGCGTGTTAGGATGGTATATGCATTGGTGCTTGTAACATGGCCACGGCAAATGAGCAAACAGTTGATGCTTCACTTGCTGGATTTAGTTTGTAACATAGTATGCCGTTGTTGTACATACGGAAAAAGATGAGAAATATGCCAAATTTTGCAACTTATTATGTGATGAGGGTTTCTACTTATGTATTTGATACTGTTATGTCATTCATGTCTGGTAATTTCGTGTCGTAAAATGTAGTACGATGTAAGGCTTCATTCATGTCCATTCTCTTGATAAAATCCAAACTAGTTACGGCAGGATAATTGACGCCTATATCTTGCCCCATTGTCATCACTAAAGGCTACCAGCAACATTACACTGTTCTCTCCACACACAAAAAAAAAAAAAAAAAATATCCAACATTACACTGTAATACGAATAGATAACCAGCCGCAATACAATAACAATGCTAATGGATAACAGATAATGGATTATAGTAATCGTCTTCTCTCGAATTCTGCATTCAGCCCATTCATATCTGTAAACCAAATACGCTAGGAAAAGACCAGGAGCGTCAAGACTTTCTGATGTTGCGATCATTGGCGGAGCATCTGTTGCAGCTGAAGCACTTGACTCCTTTGCTCAGGGGGCAGGAGATTGATCTGTTCCGGTGTCAGGCTCATTACCTGTTGAAGTAGTGCCTTCTCCATATCAGGGGTCAACTGTATCACACAAAAAGAAAATGCACAAGAGGAGCCTTAGGAGACCATCAACACTTGAAATACAATGGCTGTAAAGGAAAGGGAAGGCCCGGAAGAGGAGGGGAGGGGAGGGGAGGGGGGGATGGTAGGATTTTGGGGGTTACCGGGGCAGCACGAGCTGCTTGATTGCCAGGAACCTGTGCTGCGGATGAGCTATCTGGAGGCCCAGACATCCAACCAGATCCTCGATCTACTTGCATTGAGCTTCCACCCTGATTGTTGAACTCCCCCGTCATGTGTGAACCTCCTCCACCCTGTAATATTGTTTTCAATCACATCTCGTTTTTACTAGGAAAATCCATCATTCACAATCCTATTCTGAAAAATACTAATCCAAACAATACATCTTTGAGATCTATCCATATCAAAATAAATCTATTTTAGACGATTCATCCACCCAAAGGACATCTACAAGTTCTCCGCGACTCTAAAAAAGAGTAACTGCATGAGCTTGGGAGCAAGTTTTATGAACTTAAGACTTCATGGATTCTTTCGCCTCCTATTTTTTTAGTGGATTCCGAAACAACGCCCAGTTCTTGTATTGGACTCTGAAGCCCCCAGATACCCATTTCTCCATTATTTTCATCAAATTCCAGAAGGTAACCTACTTATCCTAATTTGAGCTACAAATCCTAGGCATATCAATGTCCCTTATTCAATCTACTTATTGACACATCATGATGGGCTGCAAGCATATACTCAAGTCTAGATTCGGCAAAAGAGTAAATCAGAACAGTTCAGATAAACATTATGGACAAGAAAACCCACTAAAAAGCACACACCAAGGCGTCAAGATGGGGTAAGCCAGAAAAAATTCCTGATACCTGATATAGGGATTGAGGAGGAGGTGGTGGCGGTTGGCCTGGAATAGGTTGCTGCTGTCCCGGGGAATATGATGGCACTGCTGGATTTTGAGTTCTATTACCTGACTAAAACAATTTAAGTCTTATTATTGTAAAGTGTCTTTTCAAAATGTTAATTACAAACTGTGCTTTAAGAAGTCTTCAACTTACATGAAACATGGGTTGTGAAGGATGTTGATGACTGCCACCATGTTGGAAGCCCATACTGGATCCCATCTGTTGTTGATATTGATGATTGTAACCCGGCATAGAATGTGGCGGCGGAGGTCTAGGCTGGGGTGGCATCGGTGGTTGCAGTGCCATGTGCGGGATTCCACCACTTGTCTGCAATGATTGTTGCAGCTGACCAGTAGCCAATTGGGGTTGATGAAGTTGGGGTGGCTGTGGAGGTAAGTTAGGAATCTGAGAAGATTGCAGCCCTGGCATTTGAGGATTAACATGTCCTTTCGACTGCTGTGGGGTCTGTAAGGTGTGCAAAGGCAAGGTTTGGGATGGAAGATTTATAGGTGGAGCAGAAGAGGAAGAAGCTATGGGCACTACTGCAGGCTGATTCTGGTGTTGCTTTCTCATCTGATGCTGCATGTTTGATCCAGCTTGTTGCCCCTGCTGGCACATTTGTCCTTGCTGTGAAGTCGAAATGTTTGACATCTGAGTGGGTGGTGCTGATTGCTGAGGCTTCTGTGATGTCGTTGCCGGGATCACAGGAACCTACAAAGAAAAATCTGTTAAGCTCGTGCAGAGATTTGGCAATATGATGGATCTATAAAGATTAAGGACATACCACTGGAGGAGGTTGGACCATTCCCAGCATAATTTGAGCCTGTCCAAACAAGGAGTACATATAAATGAGAATTGTCATAAAAATTGGTGGTGCAACTAAGATGCTGTGCTCTAAACAAGCTGAGATAAAAACGAATTATTGCTATGGTCTTGTTTTCTGGTGGAATGTCATTGTATTTAACCAGCAAACCAAATTTGCTCATTTCTCATCAGCTCAACTCTCACACACTCTCTTGTAAGATTTACTGAAGAATGTAGGCAGTAAGCAGAGAAATCACCAGTAATGTAACAATGTTGATAATTAAACTTGAATTATCCCGAATCCTCCATGAAGTTAAAGCATATCAATGATTACATCCCCTCCGACCTCAACCATTCATATCACACACTCTCCATCCAACCTACTTTCACTAAGTAGCAAAATCAGGCTTCGCTAATAGTGAAATGATTCAGATACTCAGATTTCCAAATGCTTCAAATCAAAGTGGCAGTTCCTCACACTACACCCAAAATGGGATGAAGTCTTACAAAATGAATATGGACATGCAATTCCTAGGCATTGACGAGGATTCAAACAAAACCCTAATCATTTGGCAATAACAAACGCAGACTAATTTTCACAATTCCTAGGCATTGACGAGGATTCAAACAAAACCCTAATCATTTGGCAATAACAAACGCAGACTAATTTTCACAATTCAAAGCTCAATCCTTGCAATAAAATCAGCAAACAACATCCCAGTCCCTTCTTCCTCTTAAGTTCAGGACACAAGGAGACAAACTAACCCACGAAGCTAAGTTTAACATAGGAGAAGAATTCAAGACCTGGAAAAGTGCCTTCGTCAACAGAGGGTTCTGAATGAGGATATCCCTTGCTTGCTGTCTGTTCTGCTCTATCAACGTCTGCATTGAAGATGTATGAACAGCAAACAAATGTACGGCAGTTCAATTGACGGTCTCCAGGAATGAATCGAAAACACAAAGAGCCGAAAGGGGAATGCAGAAAGAGAGGGAGAAATAGATAACTCGCCTTCATCTGAGACATGATGTCATAGAGCTGGTTCTTGGTCATCCCGGCGAAGTCCGCCGTGAGAATGTCGGCGGGGTTCGGCTTTCCCGCCATCGCTCCGCAAGTCGGTTAGAGCGAGGATTCAGAGGAACGGAAGGGATGATCGGAAGCCGGTACCCTGGGTTTAATCGACGGGCAGATGGCAGTTCGATCGCTCAGCTCAGGTGTGGCCCGTCGAGACTCCGTTTAGTAAGTTTCGGGTGTCCGATTTACTGGACTGGTTCTACACGGGCCCAAGGTAGGAAAGCATTATTAGACTAGGTGGATACAAGCCCTTACCAGGCCCAAGCCTGTTAACTAAGTTAATCTATAGCTTCTTATATGATAACGTGACATAACCAAATATTTGTTTAATACTCATTACTAGTCACGGGTCCGACCAGTTGGTCGGATTCAGTCGCCTATCACGTAAACAATAATAGAAATTTATATGCGAGATATATTATTTTTGGTGGTATAAGAAAATTTAAATAACTCAAATACTCGTAAAATTTAAATTGATAGGTAGAATAAGAGAGTCTAAATTACTTAAACAATTCAAAATGATAAAAGAAGATCATACTGTTTTCGGACATTATAATGACTCATCAACTGAAATACTTTTTATGAAAATAGAAGAAAACCCTCATGAAATAGAACCGACTCCTGAAGACATTAAAACACTTAAACAATTCAAATAGATCATACCGTTTTCCGAAATTCTAATGACTCATCAACAAAAATTTATTTTACGATATGGAAGACAAACCCCAAACAAGGAAACCGACTCCTAAAGACGTTTTCAAATCACCCTTTTATTTAGTTATTACCGTTAGAGATTATTTCACATTTTATTTTTAACTTGTTTCCTCCGCCATGAGCAACATCATCATCTCCATTAGTGACACATTTATCTGTATTATCAATTGCCTCATCCTTCTTCTCTTGCATTTCATTAATTTCTTTCATGTTTTCCTGCATTTTATTGATCACTAAAATTTAATGATAAAATATTTACAAATACAGATCATCTTTTTCATTGGAGTTGAATTTACCTCAAAGTTATGGACAATATTCAGGATTTGTTCTTTTTGTCCATAATTGGTACTATTAGTTAGACATTGAGCTTTAGGTCCGTGAATGCCAAAGGGACCATAAAACATAAAATTTGTAAATGCTTAATAACATTAAGAATTTGCTACCGGATGTGGAATTTCAGCAGATATTATTGAATCTATTTCTAAAAAAGACCATATAATTAATATATTTCTAAAGGATCATATAATTTATCTTCCTTAACTACGAAAACTAATAAATGAGCATGATGTAGACTGCAATTTTGAAATTAAATTGTCATTGCATCGATAATGAAAAAATATCAATAATAATATAAATTGGAAAATAATAATTAACAAACAAAACATGAATTAAGGATTCTTAAAGTAAAACTATGGAATCTAAAATATACGAATGTTTTCCCAAAAAATTATATCCTTCAGCAATTGATTTAGCTTATGATTGAGTAGTCCTTATCAAATCAAGCATGTACTGAATCTTAGGCCAATTAGGATTGCATGTAAATGTAATGAAATTGATTGGATATCCTGCCCATCTACAAATTGTCATAACATCTTGGAAGCTTTCATAGTTATATCGAGGACTACATGTATGTAATGATTCTAAAATCACATGTTTTCTCACTCAAACTTGTAACTGAATCACCTCTCAAGTAAGAATTCAAAATACCTTGGTGTTAATGTTGTCAAAGCTTTGTTTGTTTGTTTGTTTTTAATCCAATCCAAATGCGCAGTCTCAACCAATGCGTATGCAATAAGAACATATCGTTGGAACAACTTTACACATAATAGCAATGAGCTTGATTCTTGCATTCTTGTTTGCAGTTTATAACTGTAAAAATAACATAAGATCATATTCTTCTCATTGAGTCCATCTGCATCCTTAGAGCTAGAATATGAAATATTTGGGTTTCATTCATCCTCACCATGTGGGAATAATCCTCCAATAATATATGGTAGAGTTTTGTGAACTTTTCTCCATTTCAAATTTCCTGCAATGAGAGTGAAAGTAGGAAGGACATTTTTGTCTTTACAATTAATTATTAATCTCATATAAAAAATATCAATATGAACCAATTACACTAAACAAATTTGTTGTATCTTTTTTAGTACAAAGCATACACAAAGTTAGACTCTGAAAATTGGATGAATTTTCCATCATGATTACCAAACCCACTAAGTCTACCGTATATATTTTTATGGTGTTTGATACTTCAGTTTTCATAGTAGCTAGAGTTTCATGTAATTTTTTCAATTTTAAATTTTTTGCTCTCGCCTTAATTGTTTTTGCTAAAGGTAGATTGCTAATTGGCTAATTATGTTACTGCGTGTTGTATCCTTGAAATTTTCAATTTAAATTTATATTTAGTGCTTTTTTATCTTTGTTCTTATCTCTTTTAACTTCCTCCGAAATTCCCTCTATCGTGCAATAGTTTACGCCCCTTTCACTTTTCAATACAAGGCCGCCTTTGAAATCAATCTTTTGGTATTTCTTGGCACTACGATTTTATTATTGGGGATTTAAGCTAGACAAGTAGAAGATTTCAACTCCGATATCAATCCATGACAAATAGAATGAAGTTCAATAAATGGAGTTGTAGAAGGAGGATTAGAGATTGAATTTTTTATTGAAACATATGTCTCTTGAGATAAAAATTTGGTTCTACAACAGAGAGTGGTGACTATTGGACCTTTAGGTTTATGGTTTTTGAAGCTAGGTCGATTCTTTATTCAACCTACTGGAACTGATAGATACGGACTGTCTAATTTTGTGACTTATTACTTCGATCGAGTTTATTAGCATATTGGAGGTAACCCTAATTTTGTCGTTTGCTCTCAAGTTTTATTGGTTCCCTCTTAATTGAGTTGTTAGTATATAGTTGACTTGAATGAACAACTCTCCATTTCTTTTTTATTAGTGGCATATTGTTCCTAAGGAGAGCATTGAACCCTTTATGTAGGATTGTGAGGTTTAAAATTGTGTTTCAAACTATATATGGCGTGTGGGAATTCCAATGAGCTTTTGTACTCTATCTTTCTTGACAATCAACTAACCAATAGCATTTTAATTGGGGCTTAATTATCATTATAAAAATGAGATCAATCATTTTTATATTTTATATTCTTATTTCTCCAAAAGTTCGACCTATATATTCTTTCTTTATATATCATCTAGATCGAAGAATTGTCAATAAAAATTAAACGAGTTGATAGACTTAAATGTAACATAAAAATACAAATAATCAAATATGAACATTCCGGCCAACGAGCCGGGTTATAAGCTAGTTTGAGATATTGCACAGTCATTAAACTTGGATGATATATATGACAAAGGCTAGCATACGTCACACATTCACACTTATTACATCTACTTTGATATATTTTGATGAATCAAAACCATCGGCTACTATTTTTTAGATTAAATGAATTTTATGGTTTGGGTTAGAGTATTGGGGACTATGGTTCTCTCATTAGAGGTTAGGGTATAGTATCATGCCCCAAACTCCAGTTAATTCGTGGTTTAAATAGTAAATATATATGACAAAGGCTAGCGTACGCCTAAGTACGCTATACACTTGCGTTCACACTTGTTATATTTTGATATATATCAATACATCAGAACCGTTGGTTATTATTTTTTAGTTTAAATGAAATTTATGGTTCGGGTTAGAGAATTGGGAAGAAAAAAATATAATCGATTTTGGAGTTTATTGTCAGTGTCGTAAATGTAGAGTTGGAAAATTTTAGGTTTGTTCCTTTCCATAGGAATTAAGCTATTGATTTGATGATATACTGGAGCTCCAATCGAAAAAAACTATAATTTGTGTTCATCATTTACAGACCAGCCTAGTTTACCTCCAATAAAAGTTAACGTGAAGAGCCCATTAGGGCTTTAAATATGTTCCAAAAAGTGACGTCTCATTGAAGTACATGATTGCTGATTCAGGCCCAAATGTACACATTTTACCCCTCATTTCTTATTCGTTTAGCTTAGTATTTCATCATTCCTCGACATATTTCACGCTAGGTTGTACTTGTTTGATAAATTTCTGGTCCTAGCACGTGTGGAAGGGTCGAAGACGAGTTTTGGGATATTTGGAGGTCAAAAAGCGCAAAAATCAAAGAAAAGTCTGAAGTCACTATTTGGACGCAGTGAAGTGAAGGCGTCCCAAGAAACAGCCGCAGTTCACGGCCTGACGAGGCAGTTCATGGTCTCCTAAGACCGTGAACTTCGACCACAAACCGTGAACACCAAGGCATCCAACGAGGTTCCTGAAGTTACTGACGACAAGGCAGTTCACGGTCTCTAAGATCGTGAACTGTGGCCATTGACTGTGAACCCAGGGCAGTGAAGCGGTTTGTTTTGGACGACGCCGAGTTCACGGACGCGTTTAGGTGTTCACGGCCGTGAACTGAACACTTTCGGGCAAATATGAAGACAACAGCGGGGACAGAGAAAAGGGAGTTGGTTTTTGTGAGAAAAAACACTTTCTTTCTCTACGGTTTCAACCTAAAACACCTAAGGGGAGTTCTAGTGAGAGAGAGAGAGAGAGAGAGAGAGAGTGCTAGAGTGATATTGGAGCATCATTGGAGGCTTGGGTGAAAGATTCAAGCCTAGAAGAAGAAGAAGATCTTGAGCTCAAATTTGTAATCCCTCTCTCTCTCTCTCTCTCTCTCTCTCTAGAAACTCACTCTTTTCTCTTGGGTGTTGTAGATCCCTAACTAATACTTTGTAATTACTTGTTTAGATTGAATGATTGTCATTGGGTATTGGTTAATTCAATGATTGAGGTAGTATTTATCATGATTGTGCATGCTTGTGCTTAGCAACCTAGGGGTTGTGCCAGCTTTGTGCTTAGCATCCTCAGGTTTGTGCATTTTAGTGCTTATCAACCTAAGGAGTGTGCATAATTGTGCTTAGCAATCTTAGGTTTGTGCATGTAGGTGCTAGCAATCTAATTAGCCACCTTAGCCTAGCTTAGAGAGGAAAATCCCCCT